GTATGTATTTATTAAATAACACTAGTAACTACGCTACACCAGAATGGCTGTCAGACAGGTCTTGAAACAAAATAAAGGTCCTTAACACTTCCAGGCCACAAAACAACCATAGCAATCTATGCCCTGATTATGAGCTGACAGTTATTCTGAAGTAGGGTTTGACTCAGATTCGGGACTTTGTTAATCAACTTTAATTTAATATAACTTATATAACTTGAATATGAGTCAAACCATGTGGGTACTATTTTTCTAAAAACAAAGTAATAAGACTCTATTTAGATAAAAACAAAATCAATCAATTTAAGTAACATTTGTAATGTTTTCGCTTTTTGTACACATATTACTTTTTGTGAGATGATGCTAGCAAATAACCTGAGATTGGACATTATGAAGCCCAATTAGATGTGCCTTGTTTTATAATTACCTGCCCATATGAGCCAACACAATGTTGGACAAATTAAGGCCAATAAGGATAAATAATAGTTCCCGCAATACAACCCCATATGAGCCATACAATATGGACACAATCAGACCCCATAACGAAACATACAGTTATATGAGCTAATCTGGGAACAGGTCCAAACAAAAATAAAGCCCATCAATTAAACGGCACACATTTTAGGTTGTTCTGTTCTATATCATTTGCTGAATCTCACGTTCTTTGTTTAAATGTATTTTTTGTTAACTTTTATATATTTTTATTTTGGAAATAAAGGCAAATCGCCAATAAAAAATTGCTCTTAGAGTCGGCCGTTGATGAATAAAAGATCGAGTACACAAATTTTATATAACATTTATTAAATATCAAAATTGGACTGAAGGGAGGCTACCTTATCATTCAGGCATTTTTTCAAAATTCAAAATTGACCGTGGCAACCAATGTCTGTGGCACCATTAAACTGCTAGTGCTTTGTGACGGCCTTGGCAACAACACTTCACTGACTGACAATAAATTTCTTAATAAATTTAATTAAAACAATAAAATGCGTCTGTGGCTTTCCATACCGAAACAAAACAAAATTCAAAATTGGACCGATATAGGCAGAATTTATCTTTTGGAAATCATTTCATATTTTTTAAATTACTAAATTGCCTTTGGCTTACCGGCAGTCGGATCGATATGCAAGTGATGGTAACATATGAGGCGGTTATCTCGATATATCTGAGACATCTGGAAGAACTACATGACGGGATGAAGAAGACCACTCTGAGGGGATGAGAAGTCCATGACCAAGCCCCGAAAATGTCGCACTCTCAAAGTAGGCATTAAGGGGGGAGGTCAAAGAAGACATCTTCGAAGACCGAAGACGTGGAAAAGTTCTTCTAGACCCACCAGATGAGGGAAGCAGTCCATGGTCCATGGCGTAGCTGAAAAACTGGAAGGAGTGAACATGTCTGTCCGTTTTGCTTGTCTGTGGCACCGAACCAAAAAACACCGGTCCGAAGCACCTTTGCTTGTCCGTGCGTCTATGTGTCAGGAAAACCTTACCCGTCCGCTTCTTGATCCTTTATTTTAGGCAGCAACACGTTCTTTTACTTAACAACATAATGCACACAATGGTCTCATTGGCCTCCCGTGTATTATTTCATTAATAAATCTAAAAACAATAGCATTTTCTTTGGGCTCATTCAGTGAATTACTGAATTCCAATCAAATAGGTCACCATTTTAGAACTATAACATACTTTAAGGGCATGACTGGTGACATGTCCGGGGTCCGTACTCGACAGCGAAAGCTGCTTTTTGTGCCCGAAAGGGCGGATGGACCCTCATTAAGCATTAACAACATACATACATGCAATAATTACTTGAGTGGTTAAGGTCGCTGACTTGAGATCACAGGTCCCTCACCGCTGTAGGTTCGATCCTCACTCGGGTCGAAATCTTTCATGTGAGGAAGCCATCCAGCTGGCTTACGGAAGGTCGGTGGTTCTACCCAGGTTCCCGCTCGTGCCTGAAATAATGCCCGGAGGGGCACCTGGGGTCTTTCTCCACCAATAAAAGCTGGAAAAAATCGACGAAAAAATCTCGGCGGGACGCTCTAGGATGGCCCGACTTGAGTGTACGGTCGCCCATATGGGCTTTCCGGCGGCGACCTTAAATAAACGCATTAAAAAAAAAAGACTTGAGGCATTAACAACATACATACAGACTTGAGGAGTTGCAGCTGAGACGTCGTCTACATGAGGTCTAGGAAGGTCAGATAAATAAATAAGTATTATCAGCTAATTAATATAATACTGGGGACTTTGTGCCGTAAATACAACATAATAAGAAAATTATAAGATTGACTCAGATATTTAGAGCATTGCGTTCTGACATCTTAACATTAAAGCATTGCGCTTTGTGTTCAGGGTTTAATCTTAGTTATATTTTAGTTGTACGGGTCGCTGTTGAGATTAATGAAAGGCTGAACATAAAGAATGTAAAGTAGTTCTTATAGGTTGATGTGTAAAATAATTAGGAAACATTTATAGAAAGCTAACCATAAGAGTGATATAGTATTTCCCATTGGTTGTGTTTTAAATAGAGGACATTGACTTGATAAGTAAATTGTTTGAGCTATATTGAAAACATCGTATTTTTATTAATTCACATTGATTTTACTGTTATTTAAATCATTTGAGAATCATTTATTACCAATCATAAGGCAAAGTAGCCTGAGAAAAATTATATATATTATAATAGTCCAAGCTATAATTTTGCATAGTTCAAACGCTACCTTAATATAAGACAGAAGCTCTGACACGTTACAAATGTGTTACACAATTAATATTGGACTTACACGTTAATATTGGACACCTACCTGTACTGTATTAAAAATACAGTACGGTCAGAACAAAGGAATGACGTCACAGAAGTAATTTAAAGTTATATATAACTATAATTATTGATAGTTAAATAACGATATCAACATACAATTAAGCAAGACGCACACAGCAGAAAGCATAATGTGCATGTAAGAAAGCAAGATGTAAAAGTCAGAATGCAAGATGTACAAGTCAGAATGCAAGATGTACAAGTTAGAAAGCACGATGTAACGTAAGAAAGCAAGATGTAATTTTTGCGTTAATACCCTTCCATATTAAATACAACGTCAACGTCATTTCCTGAAAATTCTAATTGTAAATCGGGACAATTGTTTGAATAACAAAGGTTTTAACATCACTAGTGCTTACACAAATCAAGAGAAAAATGACGTCAATAGGCGACGTTGAAGTCAGGGCAATCATCAAATTTTGTGTAGGAATAGAAAAGACACCAACGGAGACGTATAAAATGATTCAAGCATCTGGTACAACAAAGAAATGCTGTAGATCGCTAGTATTTAGATGGCATGACATGTACCGAAACGGAAGAGAGTCAATAGAGGATGACAAGCGATGCGGTCGACCATCGGTGGTTTCCGAGTTTTTCCGGAAATCAAAGCACAGCTGCGAGGTCGATGCTTTGATTCCGGGTTGGAATTACAGATTGAAACCCAGGGAATAGTTTCGTCATTCGACAACATCTGGTACGAGGACACGTACGACAAATGGGTCAAGAGGCATAGAAAATGTACCGCTGTGAATGGAGATTACGTCGAGAAGTGAGTCGATATGACGATCGGGGAAATTTGACGTTAACATATTTAGCACTGACTTAACTAGCGTGCTCCGGGTATGCTTCGGTGTATGTTTTGTTTTATTTGTAATTTACTTAATTATTGTTTAATGTATTTCATTGTATTTTTTACAGCTGGCTGTAAAAGAATTAAATATTTTTATGGTGTTTTTCTTGTTTTTCAATTTCTATTATTTATCAAACTACAGCAAAAGTCCTTAAACTTCCCGAACACCCCTCGTATATTGCAATCTTCATTATTCTAATTATCGAATTTAATTTTTCTTATGAAAATAAAAAATACGTGACCAATTAAAGTACAAAACACAAGCTTCAATCATGAGCAGACCATGATGCTTGCATAAAATGTGAGGATAATTCAATCTGTACTGAATATTTAATTAAGAAAACAAAAGATATGCCGAAATTATATAAATGTCAATACAGGAGGAATTTGGCTAAGCCGTTGAATGTTGAGAAAAAAAGCGTATTTTAAGTTTAATTGATGAAAATGATAAGTATATGTTCTTGCATTGTCGAATATACATTTTATTTGGATATTAAGGCGTTTGTCCAGAGCTCTACACCCCGAGTGTACATATGCTCAACATTTGATGTGAATCACTTTGAAAGGTATCCTATGACAAAATAATGTTCTAACAGAAATACAATCATATTAATTGCTTTAACTATAATACAAGGAAACAAATTTCATTTTTTAACCCATTACTTCATGAGCATTTTGTGAAAAATGGCTGTTTTCATTGAAAAGTCTCCCGTTACAAGTTCAAATTGCTATAATACTATAAAAACTGCTTCAACACTAATCAAACTTGGCACAAATGTTGACTGGACCATTGCCCTTGCAACAACATGCTCAGGCTTAAATTTTCTGTTACCATGGCAACGAGGGGACATCTCAAAATTGCCAAAAATCACTATTTTGCGTTGATTTTTTCCATCATATCTGATTTCAATGTGCTGCAACTTCTCAATGGACTGAGATAGAGTCAAATGCTTTTCAGCGTTGGTTACACGTTACGTTATGATCAATCTGGGGTCATTTATAGCCTCTCACAAGTCCAAAATTTTCTTGGCGATGAGGGGGACTCCGCCCCCCTTCAAACCCCCCAAACAGAAGGGGGCACATCCCCCTTCTGGCAACTCCCTGATGTATCTTTTGGTTGGGGGGCCGCGCCGAAAAAGTGGTCATTTTTTTAACCAACATTTCTCAAACAAAAACAAGTGTTAAGGGCCTAAATAATGCATTTTTCACCATTTGAGACAACAAAAAGGGGGGGGGGTTGAAAAAGGCGTTAAAAGGCGTGTATATGAAGTAATGGGTTAAATAAAAAAAATAATAAAAGAATAAATAAATAAATTAGAGATCTAAAAAAAATAAAAAATAAAATTGTAGGAAGACGACAACGTTCTTTTCTAATTCTTATTCGTTAGAGGTAAATTAAACAAAGATGGCGGCCTCCGTTAGAATGCGACCTTCTGTATTTAAAAGTTTATATTTTCACAGGTATAGCATGCAACTTATAATTTGTGTATACAGCAATTAGTACAAAAATCCTGCTTTATTTTATAAAGTAAAAATAAGCCACTGGTAATTTGATTTTGTTTGCAAAGGACTCAAACATTTGACTCAAACATTTGTTCTGTGTGCGACATGATTTTGAGTTATTTCGGTCCCAATACGTGTCGACCCTAAAATATCCAAGTCAATTCGGTCCATGACATAATATGAAAAAGGCAAAGCCTCAAAGCGAGCTCGATTTACTTTTACCGTGATAAAGTATAAAATAATCGTTCATTTTTATTTTACATTTTCCGTTCTAAAATTGTCATTCTGTATAATTTTTATAGACTGCTTCCGTTTATTCTGGTTCCCTGCCTAATAAGTGCACAGGACAGCAGTCTACGCTTCCGTTTTCAATCAGAATACCTCGGCTTTTATCCTTATCCTGTAATTCGTAAAGTTGTGATGTGTAAATTCGGTACTTCGGACAAAAGTTTTCAAAACCATCAATATCTAACACATGTTACTTCGGGCCAGCTCTTCGAGCTCGCTATCAACCAGCCGTTAGTTTATTAAAAGACCAAGCCCATTTGAAATTATTTCAGAATAACAGAAAACAAAATTATCTGAAGAAACCTGTAAAAAATAATTAAAGTAGCTGACCTCCAGAAGATAGCAGAAAAACTGCCATCTTGCTAATATTTCAAAATCCCCCCTCAAAATATTTATATAGTTGAAAGAAATCGAAATGACACTTCAAATGTTATATTTTAACATTATTGCTTTGAAAACAAACAGTTCGCTTTTCCACCAATGCAAATAACTTTACCAAATTAATTATACCACGGAATCCTTTCATCCGGGTTTTTTTTCTAGTATCACGTGATCGTACAGGACATTCTTGAGACCTGTGGTCCGGAACGAATCCGGGATTTTATCAATTTACATTTCTGTTATAAAAGTGCCATTTGGTATTTCTCCCACTGCTTTCGTTTATTCTGGTTCCCTGTCCTATCATGGTTCACATAGAAGTGCACAGGAAACCAGTCTATGCATCTGTTTTCAATCAGAATTTCTTGGCTTTTATTCTTATCTTGTAAGTCGAAAAGTTGCAATTGACTATAATAGAACATAACCCATAACCCATAATTTAAGTCGCAATTGGTCTATTATCGAAGTGCCCGGCTGTTTATCATTGCGTTACATCGCCCAACAAGAAATGATATTTAAAATATCACTTATAGGTAAAAAATTCTATATTTTTTAATTTTTTCCTTTTTTTTCCTTTTATATATACACATGTAGTCTACAGCCAGGTAAGCCAAAGCCCAGAACAGTTTCTTTTTACAATGTATATGATATACATGCAACGATGTATGTTTCACAGGCATTCTTATTTTATTAACATCAAATTTTAAGTACGTTTAATCGCAATTGGTTTATAGCTATCATTCCTTCACAGAGTTATGTACATCTATGTAAGTCACAATCATGAATGGTATATAAGATTGTGTCAGACGGTTTGAAAATTTTTACATTTCTTTTTGAGATTGTATTAAGAGACTCCCTGTCATATGTTACCTTTTTCATATGGTTCCTATGAAAGTCACTTGTGACAGTCTTTACTATATTCAGCATTTTGGGAAATTAGAAAAATAAAATAATGTTAAAAAAAACTACCTTATACAATACATACATTCAAAGGTGTTTAACATTTGAATTATCAGATAATCTGCTACTACCTTACTTTCTAGTCAAAAAAGATAAATTTTATTCAGTAGTTTAAACAGTTTGCTTTTTTGGCTGCTGTTTCTGAGTTTCTTTTTATTTTAATTGGGAAAAATAGAGGTTATAATTATGTATTTTGTATTATATCTGCCCATGGTGTTTGTGAGAAAATGCACTTTATTTAAACATTAATTTTCTTGTGTCAGAACTTCATGTATTGTGTGTAGAGAGTGTCAAAGTTCAGCTTCCACAACAACAGATGCTAAATCTGATGGTGGACCACCTGTACACATTGAAAGAGAGCATGTACCTAGAGGACAAGTTAATATTCCAAAGAAGAAAAAAAGAGATTCACTGTCAATATTAAAAGCATTAGCATCAACAGTTGGCAGGGTAATGCAGTGTTTTGTTGACTTGCTTCAATTTAAGTTATTTAAAAGGCACACCAAGCCTAAAAGGTTATAATATTTTATGTTTCAGAATCTTTTTAATTTTGATGTCCTGTGACAGTTTCCAAAATGTTACTTTTTGGCTATATAGCTGAGAAATCTTCTGCGTTTTGTCAATTAGTACAGTTATATTTGTGATTGAGTATCATGTATGGAAGGCAAAATACCACTTTGTTAACATTTTACCACATGTATGACAAATTATTTCACATTCAGCCTTATTTTGTTCAGGTGATTAGCATCCTATAATTGAGCCGCGCCATGACAAAACCAACATAGTGCGTTTGCGACCAACATAGATCCAGACCAGCCTGTGCATCCGCGTAGTCAGATCAGGATCCATGCTGTTTGCTTACCAACTCTGTTACAAGTAGAGAAACTGATAGCGAACAGCATGGATCCTGATCAGACTGCATGGATGTCGTGCTGGTCGCAAACACTATGTTGGTTTTGTCATGGCGCAGCTCATATGATCTTAAACTCTTATTACAACATAATGAAAGAAATGTTCACCCAGGGGCATGAATGGTAGAATGTTATTACAACTGCTGTATATAAACAGACTGGAACATAGCAGGCTTGTAGCATTTTTAATTCAGTCAAGAAGTGGAAACTTTTAAGGTTTAGGCTTTATTTTATTATAATACAAATTGATATGTATGATACCTTGCTGACATTGTACCAAGATTGTTTATAATTTATATAGAAATTCATTGCCTTGAGGGGTACAAAGGTTTTGGACCTATCTTACTGTAAAATCATTATTATTCGTGGGGCACGAATTTTCGTGGTTTTCGTGGGTAGGTCAATCCACGAATTTAAGATCCAACGAACTTTTATCCCAACAAATACTTCTTACACAGTCTCTGTTCTATATATTACAAACATGCGTCGGCTCTTTTCTGGCCGATATTTCGTGAAATAGATGTAAGTACAGACAGATAACAAGGTTAGTGACATATTAAATCCGTTTGCAATATTTAAGAAACTTGAAAGAAAACTCGATTATATGTCTTCAATTTACTGTCACAAATGTCGCATATAAATACTTGATCGTTGAAGTCTACTATGGCTTGATTGTGCTAACAAGAATACTTGACATAATCAAGTAAATATGGGAACCCAGACAGTGCAATAATTAGCGCTAATAAAAATTGTCAGTTTGCTCTTTGTCTTTTGTCTTTGATATTAATGTCGTAAGTACACAAAACTATAAAAAATACGATCGCTAAAACAGATTTATTGTACTTTCTTTGTCGTTTTTAAATGATCCAGTTTATAGGAATTTAAATCTGTATTTGTGCGAATGCAATTCCGTAAATATCAAAGACGCCACCGACTTTTACAAGATCCACATATACTCGTGTTATTTACCGAGAATAATTTATATGCATGTAAATTTACACAGTCGCTGTGACGTTGCGTGTAGTTACTGTCAAATATGTTAAGACCAATTCATGGTGTAAACTTTTAAACTCGCTGGTTAATGGTTAAAACGTGCCAGGTGTCGTATAAATTATGCGATGTTTACATCGGCGAATTACAGGGGCAGTGTGTCCAGTGGAGGTGCATATCATGTCACATAAATGTGTTAATTGCAGTCAATTATCGGCAGTAACTGTGCTATATTAGAGTCATGCCCAGAGGCAAGGATTAAATTTATTGACAACCGCTGTGTGACAGGTAAAGAAATGTACATGTTGTAAGTAAAAATGTTCCGCGATTAAGTTTAAGATTACTTTGCACTAGGTTACTGAATTTTTTTAACAAGAAAACGAAAATCCACGAATTTAAGAACCCACGAAAATGCCGGTTTTGATAAAACCACGAAATTTCATGCCCACGAATATAAGTGAATTCGCAGTATCTGAAAATATTAAGCTGATGAAACATATGTTATTTGGTATTTGTATTATAGGAAACTGAAAGACAAATTATGCAACAATGATATAGATCTGAACGATACAAGAAATTAACATGAGTTATTTGTATTTTCCAGGACCCAACTGCCCCAAAATTTGTATTTTTAGATGATCCTGCACTTGTTCCACGGAAATCAGAGAGGGAGGTATGTCTGATTCACATTTGAAATATTATCAAAGTGAAGTAAATTTTGACCAACACCTTGTCAAAAATCATTGAACTAGATATAAAACATCTTGGGATCATACTTCATACATGTATATGGCTAGAATAAAAAAACAAAAACAAAAAAACTTAAGCCTACTGATATAGGATCATGCTTGACAGTGGCAGTTTTAGGTTTTTTAGCTTAGATTGACTAGACAGATCAATAAAAAGGAAAGAACTCGACAATAATAATAATATCATCTTCAAATAAACCAAGGTGTTTGTCTTGAATCAAGTTGGTCGACATAAATCTTTGGCCATATTTAGTGTTTACAGAAACAAAGAGAGCAATATTAGGAAAGAAGAAATTTTCTTAGAAAATGGTTGTATATTTTTGTTTAAGTGTAAATTAATACTATTTTTGTTGTTGAAGAAATTGTCCTCTCACATAGTTAAATCTAGACTAAAGCTTCCCTGGCTTTTGTCAATTTCAAGAAATAACAAAATTGGTTGACCTCTTGAAATTAACCTCTAAACAATTATCAGTCTGGACATTTTGCTCATGGGCATCTTGTTTTACCATGTTATTAATTGATAATTTTTCAGAAAGTACTTATAAGTAAGGCATCAGGAAAGAGAACAGCCCGCTTCATGGTTAATGAGTATAGGAATACATTTAATCATGGTGCTGCAGCGCCTCCTGTGAAGGTTTGTAACTCTTCATATAAAATCATAACTTTGTTCTATGTACTAGAATGATGTTACTTTTGTGCTATGTAAAAAAAACAATGGTGAAACTATTTTGTAGTATACATAGTATGATGATATCATTGTGATGTGTACAAAAAATGATGATAATATTGTGTTATTTAGAAAAGTAATAGTAAAATTGTGTTTTGTACAAAAATATTGGTACAGTTGTGTTATGCACAAAAATGATGATGCTTTTGTGTTATTTTCTTAAATTATGGTTTTACTGTGATATAAGTATAAAAAAATAACGATACAAATATGAACCGCACCATGACAAAACCAACATAGTGCCTTTGAGACCAGCATGGATCCAGACCAGCCTGCGCATGCTTGCAGTCTGATCAGGATCCATGCTGTTCGCTATCAGTTTCTCTACTACGGATGCGCAGACTGGTCTGGATCCATGCTGGTGGCAAACGCATTACATTGGTTTTGTCATGGCGCGGCTCATATAATGTTAACACAAATGAAGATACTATTGTGATATCTTTGATGGCCTCCGTATGTAGACATATTTTAATTTTAGGCATACCAGCCTGATGTAACAGAGTATATTTATACAGATGTATGTACTGATGCCCTTAGAGAGAGAATTGCAAGAAGAGAGGTGGACGATGCTATAGAAGTATATAATAGATTGTTAGAAGAAGGTATTTTCTTTCCTATTTAAGCTTATTTATGAATTTTTTTCTTCTTCATTCATAACATATGCGCTTTTCCTTATTCATTTGTGTTTTGATAGTGTTGATTTGCCAAACAGAACCATAAAAAAATTGACAGATTGAAACCGAAGCTATTTAAACCCCTGTGAAATATAAGCACTAAGTTTGTTTATTCAAGATCCTACTTTTCAAACCTTTCGGAAGAATATTTGTAAAATAACTACTGGAAGCTTAGATATTTGTCATGTACATGTAGCATTTCTGAATAAACCATAACAAAAATTGTATCACTCATTACCTAAGAGTTAAAGTGTAAAAAAAAACACTATATATATATATATCTGCTGTAAAAATTATTGTTTAAATTAAAAAAAATAAAAAGTAAACTTCCAAAATGCTTGCATGAAATAAATGTGGTAGTAAATTGTCTAAAATGTGGCACATGCAGGAAATCATTGCTAAAGGGATAAAACTGTACATGTTGATGTAATATATATTATAGTTTGATTGACAAGCATTAGGTAATCAAACACTTATTTCATGGATGTTTGTGGAACACCCTTTACTGTTGTCCCAGCTGTGTACTGCCTACCAGTTGATAACAGGAGAATCTTAAACTGGGGAACAAAAACAAAATTGACTGTTTCATTAAAATAACGATGCAAGTGATGAGTGTGTAAGTACAGTGATTTGTTTTTGATGTTTCAGGTCAAGATGTGAGTACAGAAATAAAATTATCATTTTTGGAGCTGCTGTGTGTGTTTGGGGGTAAAAACCCACCGCCGCCTTTGATGCCAGAAGAAAGAATGGTTGAGAGGATACAAATACAAAATGAAGCACTATCATTTAAAATACCGTAAGATAAAGTAACATTTTGTATTGAATATTGATATATAGCGTTCATTTATGAAAAAATGCATTTTTTCCCATTTTTTTAGCAAATTTTGCACTTTATCGAATACATGTAGTTGGTATTTTTCTCTAGTTTGTAATGGTGTCTTAACAGATTAATGCTTAGCTGTGAATGAATTATACACTGTCTTCAACCATGACTGTCCTAATTATATTGTTAATTGTACTTTCCTGTCACATGCTGAACAAGCATTGTAGTTGGGGATGGGTTTGGGGGGAGGTGGGGGAAATGGCCCATTATCAATATACATGTAATTTTTTATGGTAAGCAAAAAAAACTAATTTTTAACCAGGTTTTCAAATGAAAAAATCAGGTTATTAGACTTGGGGTATGTCAGTGGTAGGGTGGTGAGGCAGGTGGGCATGAATAATTTCTTCTGTGCACAAATCCTACATTTCTCAGGAAACTTTGAAAAAAAATGTTTGAAGCTTAGGAGGAGCTTGAGTCTGTTTATACCAAATACCTTGGAATTATTGGTAACACAGAAATATGACATCAATTTGAAACTTTATAAAGGTGGATTGGTAACATTTAGAGGTGCAGTGCCTGTAACTTTAACTGTAAAAAAACCTTTTTGATAGATATTAGGCTAACAATAGAAAAGGATTGCTTTATTTGAAGAATTGAAATTGTATGTTTTAGAATGGAATTTGCTGAGGAGGTTTTCCACAGTTTGCCAGAGAAGACAGTTGATGCTTATAATTGGATAGCCAGGGGAATGGCAAAGGTAGGAAAATTGTTTGGTTGTTATGTCTTGAAATAGAAAAACAATCATTTATAATATGTCATATGTTGCGGTTCAGAATGGAATATCTGCCCATGTGCGGGTTTCCCTAGGGACGGATATTCCGATTCCAACCGCAAACATGTCAGATATTTTTTCTTGCATATTTTGCCATATTATTTTATATTTGAAATGGTTTACCTCAATAATATCTTTATTCATTGAAATCAAAGTCATTTCACCCATAACTATTTTCTTACAATAGCTTATGAATTTACATATTTAATAAGAATGGCAAAATGACGTGATCCTAAGCTTATAATCCCCTCTAAAATAACGTCATTTTAACGCAGTTCATCCACAAAATGCGCTAAGATGATTTATGACACGCGACTCATCTTGCAACCCGTGCATGATGAAATTTCTAGTATGGGTAAAACTCACAAAACGCCAGTCTGCTATGCAAGAGTATAAAGATAGCACTTTAAAAGAATAAAACTTAAACTTTTTCTAAACTGAAGGCTTTTAAAGAGAAGAAAAGGGTAAAAAAAAATATCTAAAATTGAAAAAAAACATATTTTTCCCTGTAGGGTTTTAACACATGCCTCATTTAAACTCAATGAAACTAAATACATTTCAAACAGTTGCTTTGGTATTAGATATCTAAAACCATAATAAATAGTCCTATAATATAAGTATTGATACATGTTTGGATTATACTGTTTATTTTATCAACTTGTTTAATTTATCCAGGCCAAACTAGCTAAAGGGTTGTATTTCTACCAAGAAATGAAGAAATCTGAAATCCCAGGTAGGTTTTTACTTCAATAAAAAAAAGCCCTCTCAAAAAAAAAATTACTGAACATATATTGATAGATCCCTCCCCTGACCTTTCATTTGAATAACAATATACTTAACCTCAAACATTGACATGTGCTCAAGCTCAAATATGTTGTGGTGAAATTTTGATTGTAACCACTAATCTGATAATTAGAATTAGACAGGTCAGGGATTTATGCATTGCGGTCAAGTATTGTATACATTAAACTGAACATTTAGGGAAAATAAATATATTATATAATTAGATGGAAGTTTACAAGCAGGCAAAAAAACCCCAAAACAATGAAAAGCAACAACAAATTTCATTTTCCACCTTAATTCTTTTTGATTTGACAATTATATGAAACAATTTATCTAAAAAAAACATATATAACCTCTAGAAAAGCTGAAGGCCGCTTAAAATGTTAAAATTTGTTTTTCCTTTTTGTTTTTCAGTATATCTAGGTACATATAATGAGTTGATTAGCTACTTGTCTCAGCAGAATGTTGATAGAATGAAAGAAGTTGAGGTAAGAAAATCAGAATTTTAATTTGAAAATGTTAAAATATTTCGTCAAAATGTAGCCAGTTTTTCAATTACAAAATGACCAAGAAGTCTTGATACCTGTACAGTCAACTCTCATTGTTATCTTGAAGTCGACGGGACATTTGAGAAAAAAAGTTGAGATTATAGAAAATCAAAATAAACAAGTAATACAAAAGAGCATTAAAACACGAAGCTATCCGATGGTTGAGTGTTTTGATGATTTTTCTCTTTTACATCATAGGCAAAAATAAAAATTTGTTGCCTGTTGTCACAATATGAAACCCCAGAAAAAAAAGTAACAAATGAACAATATTCCTATCAATATCCTTCTCTCTGCCGTCACAATAAGTAAACGCCAGACATATTAAGCCAATCAATGGGCATGCTCTGGAGTGAGGGTAACAAATACCTGCACTCCAATTAATGCACTGTGCATGTAGACAATTGAACTCTTGACACATTTTCAAGAGATAGGTCCCAAAACTATGATACAAGTATATTTTATATAGATGAAGACAGAAAAAAATTGGAACTTCTAAAATTTGATTGAAATAACAAAAAAAATCAAGATAAGCAATGTCAAGATAACGATAGTTGACTGTATTTCAGTGGGCTGTCTCTATACTTAATATTTTGTCATTGTGACTGGCATAATATTATCTGTTATAATTAAGTAAAGTATTTTGTTCACAATTTAGAAAAGAAATTTTGTTTCGATATATTAACTTTATATATTAAGTAAATCATGAATGAAATATTGTGAAATATTGATGAAATAAAATTCATGTTTTTATTTTTAGTATTTTCACTCTAAAATTTTTCTTTCCACTGCAATGAAACATATTTTTGGTATTTTCACTGGTGTGTTGCCAGACTACTTTCTTCTAAATTCATATTGATATAAATAATACTGGGGAAGTCGTCAGAAAAGAGAAAAAGCATATAATAAAGTATATAATAAACAGAAAATTCAAGTTTTTTCTATAAATAAGGTATTTATTTCATCTCGTGATATGAAAATTATCATATTTCACATGTGGCTACTGCCACTCGTAAAATATCTATTTTCATACCACTCAGTGAAAATAAATTCCATATTTATAGAAAAGGTTGAATATCCTCTATCTATGAAGGTTACTTTCTTTTTAAACTAAGCTGACTTTTTTTTATTTTAGAACTACTTAACTTCAATGAAGAAGGATGGTATTGCTCCAAACCTAGAGACATTTCACAGTGTACTGAGAGCTTTAGAATATGGAGATAGAAATTATGCTACATTTGTTCCTTTAGTTCTTGCAGAAATGAAAGTTTTAAAAATAGGTAAATTTTGTATAATCTTAAAAGTAAATATGTATTAAGAATTTTCTAGGTCTCATGTAGTAGTGATTTGTGACATGAAACATGTTGGTTTGATATGGTTATTATTGATTTATGTCAAATTCTTTGAACCATGGTAAGTACTAGTTTGATTATGACAGAATTAAGACCATGGTTTGTATTGGTGTTATTATGACAGAATTTAGACCATGGTTTGTATTGTTGTTATTATGACAGAATTTAGACCATGGTTTGTATTGTTGTTATTATGACAGAATTTAGACCATGGTTTGTATTGTTGTTATTATGACAGAATTTAGACCATGGTTTGTATTGTTGTTATTATGACATAATTTAGACCATGGTTTGTATTGATTTGATTATGACAGACTTTAGACCATGGTTTGTATTGGGTTGATTATGAAGTTTAGACCAAGGCTAGTACATTGTATTTGTTTATGACAGAATTTAGACCAAGGTTGTACTTGTTTTAGTATGACAGCTTTTAGACCAAGGTTAGTGTTTGATTTGATTATGACAGATTATGACCAAGGTTAGTATTTCTTTTGATTATGACAGAGTTTGATTACAGTTTAGACTCATCACTCATCCATGCTTAGTATTGATTTATGGCAAAATTTAAATTATACATGTAGTTAATATTTTAGGTAAGTATTGGTTTGAATGAATTTAGACCAAAGTTAGTATTGGTTTGACTATAATTGATTAGTTTGATTCTTGTATTTTTTAACAGCACTCAATTAAGATATGTTGAAGTGATCAGTTCTATGTCATATGTAGATATATGATAGTTATTGAAAGGAAATTTGATTTGATTTAAATTGATCTACCATAGGCTTTATGATAAATTCATTTGTATTTCAGAGCCCACTTTGCAAACATTTGCATTGGTTTTATCTGCACTACGACCACCTAAGTCTGACAAACCTATACCTTACAAACAAGGTAAGAAAATTTATGTGACTTTTATTTTAATGTTGTGAAGTTCCTTTCCATGTTATAGTTTACAGAATATGTTCTTTACTATGAAAACAAATGTGAAATGATGAAGTATATAAAATTGACTTATAAAATTTTTCTACATTATGGAATTAGTTGGAGTAGATTAATGTTGAATAATTTTGTATTTTTTATTATTATCAAATTCTTGAAAAACACATGATGCCTCAGAAATTAATTAATGTTTTTGTTTTATTTTTAAGAAAGGTCAAATATGTATTTAATAATGCTTTAATAATGGATTAAGAGCATGTTAAATGTTAAATAAGTGAAGAGTGTAATGTACCAAATCACTATAACTACGCAGTATACCAACTACCATAGAGCAAAAGAAGCGAAAAATAATTTATATATGGCCAATGAATATTGGGCCTTTAAATAGGTCTTTATTCAGTTGAGCGTTATAAGGTCCATTATAGCTCTCTTGTTTATAGAACTAGCTTGGTTGTTTAGATAATACTGTTTGTTCTGCAGGTCTTCATATTGTCAGTGACATACAAGAAATCATAACGTATATGAGAGCACGAGGGCTTGATAAATACCGGGTTGATCATCCGAAAGGTAATATGTCTTAACATTTATAATAACATGTGGTAATAAAAATTAAACAGTGAAATGAATAATCTTTAAAGTAATCAACCAATGCAAGTTCAAAATAAAGAGTAATTTATATCAACCAATGCAAGTTCAAATCAATCTTTAAAGTATATTATAAAAAAGACTAATGAAGGCTATGGAATATCAGAAACGTATGTCTTTGATAAAATTACTGAAAGCTGACCCACTTTGTTTCGTGTGTTTCACATTCCTTATTCTTTTTATTAAGAGACTGATTTGTTGGACGTGGTAGAAAAATTTAGAATATCTTATAATTTGAACTTATGCTGTAGTTTTGTCTTCTTTACTGATCAGTTTATTGTGTTTTCTACTTATTTGATTATATGACAAATGATCGTGAACACTGAATCTAATGGTCATTTGTTTCATTGCTGATTTAGATATCTTATGTCAGATAAGTAGTTGCTCTCTTGTAGTGAAGTAGTTAAGTTATTTGTTTATTATTACTGGTTAGTTATCCAGGATCACATGTTTCAGTGAATCAACAGCTGAGATACTACCCAAAATGTGTGTTAAAAGCTTAACATAAACCAGAAAAATATCATATTGTTATATTGTTTTACATATCAGTTTGCAGCTCCATGCCTCCAAATGAGCCAAAACATTTTAAGAAAATCAACCTTGAGAAAAATGTACTAAGATTTAAGAAAATTAAAAAATGTTCACAAGTCAAGAAAATAATTTTCATTCTATATGGAATTTCTGTATTCTCATATGCAATTAATGAACCGATTTTGCAGTGTTTATCACCATATTTCTGTTGTGTGACTAACACACTAAGGGCTATTTTTGCATATTTTTACGCTATTTTTTGGTTATTTATGTATATTTTTTTGTCCATTTGCAATGTGTATTTTACTTTCTTTGTTCAACTGACAATATTTTACTTTAAAAAACATTTCAAAACATTCCATGAAAATGAGAATGAATCTAAGGTGTGCCTTTCAACTTATTTGATATCTATGCTGTATAAGTAAACAACAGCTGTATTTCTTCATATAATCCTCGAGTATATTTGCCATTTCAGAACACTTTTTATTTGAAGCACTGAAGGAAGTAAAGTACACGGTTTTATCAGTTTTTGTGCTTAACATTTTACTTCTTTACTACATAGTCATAAAGATCTGCCTAAATAACTGCATGTAGAACCAGTCAAAGTTTTTTTCTCAGTCACTTAAATTATAGTTCATGGTTACTTATAAAAATGCTTCCTAAATTTCAATCAGTCAAAGGTTTATTATTCTTACACATTACTTATGTTTTTACTAGTGATGACATTGTGCAAAAGGAGCCACCATGCCCAAGTGGTTAAAGTCAATGACGTTAAATCAACTGCTCCTAATGGTATTGTGTTTTGAAACCTAACGGGGACTTTTGATTTCCTGTCTGTAAGGTAGCTATCTAGCTAGCTTATGGAAAATTGGTTTTACACATGTGCCGACTTGTGCCTGAAATGGTGCACAGAGGTGCACCTAATGTCTTCCTTCTACAGTAAAAGCTGGAAAGTCACCATAAATACAATTTTTACAGTTTTCAATGGGAAAAACTTAAAATAACAACAAACTAAATGTTAAGGTATTAAATACGCAAAATATTGTTTTTTAATACATATCAAATCTTTATGTTCTGAAATTAACTTTCAGTGTAAAAAGTTTAACGATATAGGTGTTGCGGAGATGTTGTATAATGTACGGGAAGAGATGGGCTACAACTACATCTCTACATCATTCTTTGAGGACGAGAACTTCTTGTAAGTAGTGCGGGTACCTGTCATACCTTTACCATACTAGATTTATATGTTAAATTATTTATCTCTATCTGTCAATGTGGTTTCAACTCATTTCATTTTGACATTCTTTCATTTTAAAGCATTTTTTTTTGCACAGAAATATGTGGTGTGTTGTTAAAAAAGTATATACTTCATATATGGTTCATAACTTCTTTGTGCATAATGGGATTTCTAAATGAATTTGTAAACAAAACCACCATTCACTTTGGAACTTCAAACTTTGTACATGTATATTAATATTTGTTGATGATTTTTTTACACTCTTTTCCAGGTCCTCAATGACATTCATTAGCTTTTTAGATTAAGTTTTTGTTTATCGTCATATGGCAATATTTATGCCACTGAAATATGAGATGTGTAAAAAATTTAATATGTGGATTTATCCTGTATGAGTTGCAGCTGCCTGTCACAAGCCAATTTTTGAGTCAAAAGGTGAAGGTCCAGTGCTGAGAAAAATGGAGGAAGTGCCGTGCTCCTTTGGGTCGGCCGCTTTCTGTTTACATACATTTTGAATATGCTTTATAAAACCACAGAGTGCTCCTTCTTGATAGTTGATCATTTTAATAGATCATTTATCTATCACATAAACTTCATTTTTAGCTCGACTATTCGAAGAATATGAGAGCTATTGTAGTCGCTGCGTCGGCGTCGGCGTCAAGCGTCCGCGTCGGCGTCTGCGTTGGGTTAAAAGTTTTTTGTAAAGTCAAATATCTTAATTATTACTTGAGATATGCAATTGAAACTTACAATACTTATTTATAGTAACAAGGTACATCAGATTGACAAGTTGGATAACTCTGCCTACAATATTGACAGAATTATTTCCCTTTTTAACTTAGAAATTTTGGTTAAAGTTTTTTGTAAAGTCAAATATCTCAATTATTGCTTTGAGATATATTCAATTGAAACTTACAATACTTATTTGTAATAACAAGGTACACCAGATTGACAAGTTGGATAACTCTGCCTACAATATTGACAGAATTATGCCCCTTCTTAACTTAGAAATTTTTGGTTAAAGTTTTTTGTAAAAGTCAAATATCTCAATTATTGCTTGAGATATTCAATTAAAAACTTACAGTCCTTATTTATAGTAACAAGGTACATCAGATTGAAAGGTTGGATAACTCTGCCTACAATATTAACAAAATTATTGCCCCTTTGGAACTTAGAATTTTTGTTAAAAGTTTTTTTTTGTAAAGTCAAATGTCTCAATTATTGCTTGAGATATTCAATTGAAATTTAAAATACTTTTTTTATAGTAACAATGTACATCAGTTTGCAAAATTGCATAACTCTGCCTGCAATATTTGCAGAATTATTTGCCCCTTTTTGAAACTTAGAAATTTTGGTTAAAAGGTTAAAGGTTTCAAAGATATTTACTTGAAACTTTACACATGCACTTAGCGTCATAATTGGAAGGTCATAAATTGTATGTCACTGACCAAGTTCCATAACTCTATCTTGCATTAAGGCTGATTCATATCCCCTTTTATACTTAGTCTCTTGGTTAATGTTTACATGCAAGTTTTAAATATCTCAATAACTAATAAAGATATTATTTAAAACTTCACATATGATTTAGGGTCATAATTGTAGGTCACTGACAAAGATCCATAATTTCTATCTTGCATTTAGGCGGATTTTCTCACCTTTTTTCAACTTAGAAATTCATGGTAAAGTTTTGCTTGTAAGCTGTTATATCATCAACTACTGAAGGGTTTGTGCTTTTTTGGAAAATTTTATGCATTCATGATAATAAAGCAGTGATTTACTTGATAAAACATCTTAATAACAAGCCTTTTGTACCTTTTCTGTCAAATTTATGTATTCATAGGTAATTAATATTATTATACTCAATAAAAACACCCTTGTGACATTTCCTTCCGAATAGTCGAGCCAATACTGTATAACTAGACTCTCTCTAAGGTCTATAACATGAATTTATAAAAAAAAATTAGCCCTTTTGTGAACTTAAAAAATTTAACATTATCAAGGCTCTTTTACTATCAAGCACTTAGAATAGTCGAGCATGCTGTCCTACCGACAGCTCTTGTTTAAGATAATCATAAGGCATTCTATGCCTGAGAAACATACTAAGTTTTCTTTCTTCAGAAATGGATATACATAAGTTTTATAATGTTTTGATAATGGTTTAGAGTATGTTCGAGACTTATCACCTGAAGAAAGTGGCACTGAATGTGAAATTATTTGTCATACAAATAGCAAAATGTAAACCAAGTACTATTTTGATTTCCATACCAAATACATAACTATAACTTTACTAATAATTAACAAAAGCAACTGAAGTTAAAGGTATTTAGGTACTTGGCCAATGAGTGAAATTCTGGAAACTATGACAGTATACCTAAAAGATAAGTTTTTTCAAAAAATAAAATTTAAAAGCATTTCTGGAGCATAATGGGCCTTTAAACTTTTTTTGATATTTTTAAAAAACATTCCAAAAATGTTATTAAATAATCTAAAATAAAACTTATGTCACTTTATGTAATGATGTATTGTTTCATTTTTATTTAATACAGTGGTACCCTGCTTAGAATGTATGCTTTGACAGAGAACTCTGATAAATTGATGGAATTCTACAATAAAGAAAATACTTATGTAAGTAAAAAATAGAAAAAAAGAGCTTGACTCTTTATGAGTTAAAATAAGATAAAATTGTAGACATCTTTAATTAATTTAAAATCAAGTAAAATTGGTAACATTAGAATTTATCTTCGATAAAAGGTTAGTCAAATGTGAAGTTAAATAGCAAAAATATTTTTTTTGGAACAGTTTTAAAGTGAATTGGCCCATAATGCAATATGTGTAATTCAAAGAATAATTTATAATTTGATCGTATTTAGCATCAGACATAATGACAAACCATAAAAGAATGATATATGGATGTTGTTTGTAAGTGTGTTATACATAATACAATATTAATACATACATTTGCATAGCAGATACTTTTAAACAAAATATTATTATCCGTTCATACTAACTATACTAATTTTATCAACATTTACTTCTTAAAACAATTATTCATAAGAATTTTGAAATGATACATTTCTTTCTTTTTTATCAATATTTGAAATACTTATGAAAAATATGCCTTTTGTAGACTAATCTACTTTAAGGTCTATTATTTGAAGAATAGGGACGGCTATTATGTATTCACCCTGGCATTGGCGTCACACTTAGCTTAAGTTTTTGTTGTTTATTATTTTAGTAAACTATTTCTTCCTTTGTTCCTTGAGCATAGTTTAGAAAAATCGTACAGGTTAATTCCTTAAATAAAATATTGGTTGTTTTCCCTCCCGCTACCTACCCGCAAAAATCACAGCTACCCAGAAAAATTATTGCCTAGCAAAAATAATATGTTATTTTACTAACTGTGGCAATGAGAATCACATATTTTATATCTGTGTCATGTTTCTTTAATTGTATATTACAAACTAAGATATATGTTTAATAAAACTGAAAATATCGTTCTTACCTTTTAAACAGATACTAAATATTCACACCTTCTTTCTCTTAAACTCCATATAATTTTAATATTCACAACTTCTTTCTCTTAAACTCCATATAATCTGATAGAAAAAAATTTTTTTGGATATAAAAAAAAAAATCTACCGACTTACCTACCCTACCCAAATTGTCATGGATCATTGGGTAGATGTGTGGGGGGGGGGGGGGGGGGGACAAAGATTATTTTAAGGCTTGCCTTACACATTGAGTGTGCCTTCTGATAAACTTTGTCTATTTCATAACTCCAAGATACCTGAAAAATGTACATATGAAAGTAAGTGAGGGGCACTCTAATATTGTAACTACGTTTTGTATTATTCCTGATTTAGCACAAAGTCATTGATGTATTTCATATAAATGAACACTTGAAAATTAAAAATTGTAAGGTGCCATGTACTTAACAAAAACCTTTGACAATGGAATTTCCATATATAACATAGCCCTTGTTTTTTTGTTGTTTTTTTTTTATCAAAAAAAATCTTTTTTATTTCAGAATAGTTCTTTAACTTTTCCTGTTATACTGGCAGTTTTAGATAACATTGAAACACACAGTGCATACCAGTATTTGCCACAGCTTTGGGAAGGTTTGTTATTACCTTTACTAATAGTATCAAATATCTCATGTGACTTGACAGAGTAATGGTCTTGTGCCAATATTGGGTTGAATTTGGCCATATTCCTCACCCAAAGAATATATTTTTTCCCTTTTTTCTGAAAAACATTCCCCTCAAATTTTTTTTTCTAAATTCATTTTT